TCTAGGGCATAGCTTCAGATTTGGCACAATCTGAGCTTCGGGAGATGTTTCTTTCAGCAGGTTATTTGAGGGCAAAGGAATGTTTTAGACTCGCAAGCTTGATTTTTTTGTAACTCAGCTTTTGCACCACTTTTTCCTGTGGGTAATGGGGGCGGGGGGGCGACTTGCATGACTTTTTGTATGTTCCGATTCAGCTTTTCTGCAGGCTCTCAGTGAATTTTGATAGCTCTTGCAGAAAACTCTTATCAGGCAGTGAATTGTTTGCTGTAACACAAGGTGGAGCCAGTTGGAAAATTAATAGGGAGAATTTAGAAAAACGAATATCGTGTAGGAAATACCAGCAGGTAGAGTTTCTTAAGATACCATGAATCCCTTTGAGTAAGATGGAAGCCAGCCAGGAATCCCTGAAATTCTGGAATCTGCGCCCTTCAGAGAGTAATACAGCATTGCATACCATCTCAGCTTTGGTGCAGTCGTCCAAGATATCACCCCAGTCCAGGACATAATGCCAACTTCAATTTACCTGCCTTATTTACTGTACTCTAGAGCAGTGTTTTTCAACTTTGGCAGCTTTAATTGCTAGCTGGGGAATTCTGGGAGTTGAAGTCCACCCATCTTAAAGTTTCCAAGGTTGAAAAACACTACTCTAGACAGTGTGAATGAGGCTGAATATTGTCTCTTTATTATTGCTCAATAGTTTCAAAAAAGGGATTCTGAGCTAGGGAAGATGCTGATTTAGTGGGAAACTAACCTTCAGCCTTCATGATCCATTTCCAAGGGCTTTTGCCATTCTCCTCAGTGATTTCTTGACCCCTTTAGCAGAAGCCCTGGTCCTCTCCTTCATTCTTCTGTCTTTATCTCTTCTACTTCGTGTTCTGTTTCTTTTTTCCCTTCCTCTTGCCTTGGTTCAGTCTGCACTGATAAGTACCCTGTGCATTTTTTCTGCAAATGGAAGTCTTGTGGCAACATAGAATTTTTCTAACCTTCCCAAATGCTATTGTTGCCCTTGTCTTGATGAAAGAGTATGTTTCATCAGATGAATGTGCCAAAATGTTGTCTTGGCTCTGAGAAGTGCTGGGTGCTGGCCAGTGTCTCAGAGAACCATGGGCAGTGAGGCATCAGATCTGGAGTTCTTTGCCAAGGTTCTACCAAACCTCCAACTCTCTCTTCTCCTGTGACTCAAGCTATAATTATGCACCATCAAGTCTTGGAGAAGTTAAAACAGCAGTTTCCTCCCTTGGCATTTGTTCCAGGATAAGATTCTGTAGAGTTGAAGAGAAGCAAATTAAGAGCTCCATCTTAGAAGAAAAGATTAGAGATACGGTGTCCTCTAAATGGAATTCTCAACCTTACCTAAGACCTTTATATTTTGCTGAGTATTTACTTTCCACTGACTTTCAACCGCCTCAAGGCCTCTCCTGGAACATGGTAATCTCTGGGCTACTACTACAAGGCTGTCCCTGCATGGCTTCTTGGAATTTAGTCAACAAGGCACTCTGCTTCTAGACTGGCCACATAAGGAAAGTTCTCATTAGTTGATTTGTGACTTAGCACCATGCATGAGCCTAACCATTGTGGCTCAACATTATTGAAGAACCTGTTCATTATGGCTCATTCAACAAGCCAGGATTAAAAATATCTGTTTAGGGAAATGTGGAAGCCTAGTCAACTGACAAACTCCAGTGCTCAGTGCAATTCAAGAAACTGAAGACTAGCATGTCTGAAAGGCTTTGGACTGGAGAAGGTTTATTTAGGAGGACAATGCTGTGGGAGCCTTCTGAATCACAGTGACAGTTCCGTTGCTTTCAGCTTGAATCTTTTCTCTGCTTGTCTTGGAGCTGCAGACTGTGGCACTAGAGGTGCCACCCCATTGCTTTGCACGTCAGCTTTGGTCCTGAGAGTTGGTTTCAAATCCATCTACAGGACAACCCTAAGCAGCAGCTGAATCTTGATATCGGGTGTTCTGTATTGTCTGTTGCCCAGCTTGGCCATGACTAAGATTGCTGGCATACAGGCAGTTCCTTCAGGTCCTGATGGAATCACGTCAATCTTCAAATCCTTGTTTTTAATCCAGCTTCTTCCCAGCATCAGTCAGGCAATAAACACTCCATTCCTTTCTCAAGGGGGCCGTGCTCCCAGGCCTGGGGTTAAGTTGGTTGTGGAGCCCCTAGGAGACTTTTTGTCATGTAAATCAGGGTTCCTCAACCTCAGCAACTTTAAGATGGGTGGACTTCATGGCTGGCTGGGGAATTCTGGGAGCTGAAGTCCACCCATCTTAAAGTTGCTGAGGTTGAGGAACCCTGATTTACATGACAAAAAGTCTCCTGGCTGGGGAATTCTGGGAGCTGAAGTCCACCCATCTTAAAGTTGCTGAGGTTGAGGAACCCTGATTTACATGACAAAAAGTCTCCTGGCTGGGGAATTCTGGGAGCTGAAGTCCACCCATCTTAAAGTTGCTGAGGTTGAGGAACCCTGATGTAAAGTATGTTTCATCCAGGGGCCTATGTTATTGTTTTCCTCTCTTTTAATTACATAAGCCACCAAGCATCAACTGGAAGTCAGGTGGCCTTCTAAATCCAAATTAATAAAGGACACTAGGACTTACCTCACAGGCAGTCTATCTATTCAGGATTCTCATTGGTTCTCCCCACCACCACCTCCCCGTGACTGTTAAGGATTAGTTGTTCTTGGTGACCCATATAGGGCTGCCTTGCTGTTTAGTAAAGAGCCCTGGGGCAAGTTCTTCAGTATTCAGGGACCTGGAGAATTCAGGCGAAGGGGGAGCTCCCAGATGGCCTTGCTTGTTTGCGGATTTCCTATGTGAGCTTTACATGTTGTCTTTCCTCCAAGAACACAAGACAGCATCCCTAGTTTAATAAATTACTATTATTACTCCCTCTTCCCATTTCCCCCACCGCAGCAACCCCCTTGAGTCTGGCTCCAAATTACCTGCTGAGCTTCCATGGCCAGCAATGGATCTGAAGCTGGGTCTCCCAGTCCTAGTCCACCACTTTTCCAGCATGAATCCTGTTTGTCAGGAGAAGCAACCGAGCTGTATTTCTCTGAGCACGACAGCAGACATGAATCTGGTTGGGGCATCTCCAGTCGCTGCGGGGAATAAGCCTGTTTGTGAATTAATTTAATCGCCCGCCCACAGAATTGGGTCCCGAGTGTTGCATCCTAAAAGCCATCTTCTGTTTCTTTTTAAAATAGGCTTTAGCACTGAGGAATTGGGGGGGGGGGGGGTTGTGTGCAGCCCAGCCTCCCTCTGAGGCGTATCTGTCGAGCTGTGTGCAGCTCCACTGGGCACCTCTGGAAGTCCTGTCAGTCCCGAACGGCTGGAATCACTTGAGCAGTTGCCCAGTTTTTCACTGGCACTTGGTTAAAGCGGTCCTTTGAATAGAGCGCAAATGACAGGGAAGCCATTGTGAGCCCTGTAGCGCTGGGGTAATGAGCTCCCGGTGGCCTGCCTGTATCAGGACAAAAGGAAAGGCTTGTTATCGGAGCGGTCACGCCAGAAACAGTGTGCAGCTACAGCGTGCTGTAGAGCTAGCAATGAAAGCACTTTGGGACGTTGACGCTGTCATTGTGCCTTGCGAGAATGGGCCTTAACTGAAGTTAACATTCACGGGAGTTGGTAGGCTTCCCCTTCACTTCTCTTGATGGAAGGGAACTGAAGCTGGGGGAATACTGGTTGCCTTCCTGCCCGGCCCCTGTGCAAATGTGGCTTCTGTCCCCCAGAGCAGATTTGGGATCGGCGCAGGGTGGTCTGCTTGCAAAGATTCACATTTCTTGCACCTCGGCATCCGGAAGACGCGGCTTTGCCCTCTGGTCTGGGGATCCGGTGACGCTGGTGGAGAGGCTGCTAAGTGGTTGCACTTTTAGGGAAATGAATGGTGCTCTCCCCCAATTTTATGGTTTTAATAGTGGTGGTATTTTTAATGGTTTTTTGTGGTTATTTTTTGGCTGGCTCGTTTTTTTGGGGGGGGTGGATTTTTCAATTTGTAAGCTGCCCAGAGATGGGTGGCTACATAAATTTAATAAATAAATAGGTCCTCCCAGTTAAGGGAAGTGCAGTTAACAGCCATGTCAGAATGTAGTTGTTCTCTGTTTCTCCCCAAGAACTGTACCCAGGTCTTCTCTAACAAATTCTTGCCCGTGGTGTTCTCCATTATGCCATCCCTCCGGTGGTGATAAAATCCGGACTGTGCTCTGTTCAGGGGTGCGTTAGTTGCATCAGTGTGAAGTACGGGCAGAGGGAGCAGAGCAAAGCCACAAGTCTTTGCACCAGGAGCATCTTGTGCAAAGCCTTGATATATTAGGCCTCTGAGGTCAGAGATGAGGAGTAAACGCAACGTGCTGGACAATCAATTGGTGTGAGCAGGGTCATCAGGTAGGTCCAGAGTTTTAATATCCCCATTACATAGGCCAAGCAGAAATAATAGGATGTGCAAATGGCATTTAAGGGTTTGGGGAGGGGGTGTCATTTTTGTCAGCTTGGCCCAGCCCAGCTTGTTGGTTTATTTCAGGATTGCAACCAGGGGCCTGCAGTCTTGCAAGAACTGTGGTGGTTTACAGACTTTGTGGCCTTGTTTGTAGTTTCCTAAAGTTGCAGGATAAGTGTGTGCTGGGCTCTATTGGAGCCAACATTTATACTTGAAATAAATGCATTTTCTGACCCTCTCTTTTCCCTCTTGAATTTTAACCCGAGAACTCCTTGGGACAGGAACCTCCCATCCTACTGTTTTGTGAAGTGCTGGTGCACATTTGAAGAGCAATAAAGGAAACATTATCATCAATAACCAGAAATGTTTTTTACAAGTTACAAGCCTATAAACGGTCAAGAGTTAGTTGTGCCATCCAGCAGGATCTTTGCTCCACTTAAAGCGGTTGAAGTTGCTTTAAGAGTATCATTGGGTTTCAGTTATTATTTCAGGCTGACTGTAAAGTATTTTAATGAATTCAGTTCTTGGCTGATTCTGGACTGCTGCATTTCTTAGTTAACAAGTTTAGTAGATCATCTACACATCGAGTGTTTCCTTGACTCCGATGCCTTCAGTATTGAGAGTAAACATGAAGTCACAATCCTAGGAGGACTCAATGAATTTGTAGTGAAGTTCTATGGACCACAAGGAAGTATGTATACTCTTGAGATGCGTAAAGATGTTGAAAGGAAACATTTTCTTGGTAATTGGTCACTGGAGGGTAGAGGAAGGGTTGGGAAAAATGAGAGATTATTTGGGAAGATGATGAATACCCATGTCTCCCATGCCTCTTAAGATACATGGAATGTTTTACGCTAAGTTAAGCCTAGCCCCAAATCCCTCAGTGGTACCTCTAGTTACGAACGCCCCTCCTTACGAATTTTTCGAGATACAACCAGCTCCGGCCCCAAAAATTTACCTTGACTTGCAAACTCGCCTCAACTTACGAACCGGATCCACGGCCATTTTCCGCCCGTTCCACGTTGTCCGCAGCTGTTTTTCCGCCCGTGCCACGTGGTCCACGGCCATTTTCCGCCCGTGCCACATGGTCCACGGCCATTTTCCGCCCGTGCCACATGGTCCGCGGCCATTTTTCCGCCTGTTCCATGTGGTCCGCAGTCGTTTTTCCGCTCTGCCGCGTGGTCCACAGCCATTTTCCGCCCCTGACACGTGGTCCGCGGCCATTTTTCCGCCTGTTCCATGTGGTCCGCAGTCGTTTTTCCGCTCTGCCGCGTGGTCCACAGCCATT